GAAAATGGAATTCACGCAAAATTCATACATGGAAATCGGTTAAAGAAATACAAATCTAAAGAACTAAATGAAACATTCGAGGACGAATTGTCAAATGAAGAGGGAGAAACAAATACCAACACTAACGACAATCAACCAATTGTGGTAATAACGCCCCCAACAAAAGAAAAATTACAACAATATAAAAAGAGTAGAAAAGTTTATTTCAATGACAACGTGGCAATATTACGGTACAACAAATAACGTAGATCACAAAATACGATTAAATAATAATGTCGACAAACGAAACCTCTGACAACCTAGAAACAATTCTCCGGCAATTAGCCAACGAAGTAATGGAAAACCCTACACAACTGACATTAGAATTAGGTGATCAACTCGATTTTTCACCCTCACAATTATCGAATACTCCTTTAGTATTTCCAGAAGAATCACCAATAATAATTAATAAATCACAACAAGAAAAAGAATGAAAAATAAAAGAAATTAATAAAATATTAAAAACAAAAAATAAAAAAGAAATAAAAAAGAAAAGTCTGACACAGACACCGATCCAAAGTTTAAAATAGAAAAATACCGAGAAGAATGGAACAGATATGCACGAACACAACAAAACGACGGACAAAAACTATACTGCTTAGCATTAATTGGCACACAAATAAGTCGAATAACGAAGGACCTAACGGAATTCAACAAATTAGAATACGTAGTCACAAAGGGAGAAAAACCCATATTTAGGACCAAATTAATGCGACTCCGAATGGCAGAATGGTTAAGTGATATATTCTCAACAAATCCCGAATTCCTTCTTGAAGTACCTAGAATAATGCTCCAACCGGTTCGGGTCAATCTGAAACCTGACCCGGACCTGACCCAAAAATCCCGGTTCGGGTCGCGATTTTTCCATCCGAAAAAAACTGGGTCGGGTCCGGGTCGGGTTGTACTTGGACCTGAATCGATATAACCCGACCGGTTCAGGTCAACCCAAAAATTTTGATTGGATGAAATTTTATGCAGGGAATTTTGGTTAAGAGACCACAGATTGATATTGAATTTGCATGAATTCTTATTGTTAAAGTTTTTTAGTACCATTGAAAATGTAATCGATGATTGCGTAATGAAAGAAAGAAGTTGATAATATGACCGCGTAAAAAAAGAAAGAAGTTAGTAACATGATTGTGTAACAAAGATGACATGATTGTGTAACAAAAGAAAGAAGTTGGTAATATGACCACATAATGAAAGAAAGAAGTTGGTAATATGATTGCATAATGAAAGAAAGAAGTTGGTAATATGATCACGTAATAAAAGAAAGACGTTGATAACATAATTGCGTAACAAAAAAAAGAAGTTAGTAATACGACTGCATAATAAAAGAAAGAAGTTAGTAATACGATCGCATAACAAAAGAAAGAGATTGGTAATATGATCACGTAATGAAAGAAAAAAGTTGGTAATATGACTGTATAACACAATTGCGTAATAAAAGAAAGTTGGTTACACTATCATGTAATGAATGGTCTCTTTATTTTTACCTATCGATATGATTAATGAATAAATAAAATACATTTATCCATGTAATAAAATATATTTATCTTTAACGACGAAATATTCAAACATCATCTACCACTACATTTCGTTTCTTGGCTCGTTAGCATTAGTGGATATTATGTTATGCGTGGAAAACAAGTTTTTGGTGTTTTTAGTAGTGCTACAGTTACTTTAAATGAAGGGTTTCTTCACTATTAGTAAAAGAGTCATATGAGTTGGGAGAGAGGAATAG